TATATATATATATATATATATATATATATATATATATATATATTATATATTACATATATTATATATATTATATTGTTGATATAATAATAATAATTAAACAAAAATAAACATATTTAAATTCTTCATATACTTTGTATATCGCATAATCATTTCTTTCATAATCAATTGCAATATTTGAAACACTTTGTTCAGTTTAAAAAAAAACTTATTTAAAAAGATTTAAATTATGTTAATATATTTGTAAAAATTATTATACAGGCATACTTTAGCATTAGCATAGGTCAGTTTTAAAAAGCACACAAGTATTATTTTAATATATAACAATCGTATGACATTTTTTTTTTCTGAAATTTTCTTTACACATTATTTCTTTTTTTTTTCTCTTGAATCTTACATATAATAAATTGTTTTATAGATTAAAAAATCAAGATATATTATAATATATGCGTTAACCTGAGCAAGAGAAAGTATCTTTCATTTACAGTTCCTTTATCAATTTACTTATACACTGACAACAAACAATACTTATTTTTACGCCATTTTAAATATTAAAAATGGCGGAAGTAATGTTGTACACTTAACAGTTCCATCGGTTTTATAGAAATTTATTCTTCTTAATTTTAATGATATTAGTATAGAAATAACAAATGTTATTAGGAGATTATATTATTCAACTGTTGATAAAAAATCGCTGTTTCAATTTTATCATAATGTTTTAATATTTACAGTCAAAATTATTCGTCAAGTGTTAGAGTATAGTTCAGCAGTTAGAAAAATGGAATTAGAGAAACAAAATAAAGAGAATATTTATTTTAATAATATATATATATATATGTTACGGTCAATGTAAAGAATATACAAGCATTGTATAAAATGTCCACTAATTGTAAGATCTTAAATTTCTGTAAATGCAACAAACCATGACAGGTGCATGCACACTTTTCTCAACTGTTTGATTATAAGAACTTCATTTTTCAAACTTTTACGTTTCAAGGACACAAAGGAGGTAATATATATATATATATATAAAAATAACGAATTCAGTTTTTAATAAATAAAGATATATTTTGTTATTTTGTTACTATAAAAATCAGCTTGGTACTTGGTTTTTGTTAAAAGTTTAGATTCATTCTCCCCTACTGTAAATATACCCCAATGAAGCACATTTTAAAGATTGACCAAAATTTGTTATTGACATTGTGTATAAATTTGTTAATTTTCATGGTTTGTTTTACTTACACGAGTTTACAAACATTTGTCTCCCCTCGAACATTAAAAATAATAAACAACTGAAGCATATATTTTACTTTGACCAAAACTTTCTGTGCATTGTATAGATTGACCGTAACATATATACATATTGTTTTACTTATAATTAATATACGACTATTTAATAATATCATACGTTTTTATAGATGTTCATTATTGGTTGAGATCAATCGTCATTATTTACTTTCAAATATTATATAATGATTGTAAAATATGTTCACGTGGATGGGTTAAAAAGTTTTTAGCCTAACATATATATATATATATAAATTCACTTTTATTTAAAAAGAAAAAAAATATAAAATAAAATAAAATATAATAAAAATTATTTGTCAAGGCTCATAACTTTCTTACTCACCCTCGTATATATTTTGTATAAGAAATTAAATTGCACGAGTACAAGAAATTCAAATTGATATTATTTGAAATAAAAATAATATATATATATATATATGAATATGATTTATAAATAAGAAATATTGTTTGTTCATCATGAAAAATTTATTCAAATTAATTACTCTCTCTCTCTCTCTTTCTCTCTCTCTCACTATTTTCTATTAACAATTTTATACTAAGAATAATGGAAACGTTTCTCGCGATAAGAAAATAAAAAAAAAAAAAACAGAGTTAATAAAATACTTTTACAGTAATTTTTTTAAAATGATTTAAGTATATGTGTATGTTCTCGTCATATGTATATATATTATTAAGTATATATAATAATTGATATTCGATAAAATAAAATGATAAAGAAAATACTAAAGGTTTTGAAAAAACTTGTATGTCATTTATTTTTTATGAGAATGTGTGTATGTGTATATATATAAAAATTATTCATTTTGATGTTTATTATTATTTACATTGATTTATCTATCAACAAATAAAATCATGTATTACCTAACTCTGTTGTTAAAAGAGAAACGCTAAAAAAAATGAAAGCTTCTTTTTTTTTTTTTCTTTTCAGATTCAGTCTTTTAAAAATCTATTTGCTAATAAACATTAAGTAAGATTCTGAAGAGGAATCTTAATGATTTCTTATGGTAACATAACTTCACATTTTATCAGTGAATCGAATACATATGAGATAATGCATTTCTCTTTCGGTTTGTTTGTTTTTTTTTTTTTTAATTGAATTTTATATTAAAAATTCAATTTTGCATAAAAATCTGTTTTGTTTTCAATTTTATTTATAAATGCACGAAGTAGCACATTGTAGCATAATAAAAACTTGTTTCATAATAAATGGTGGTAAAATATTTTAGTTTGAATAACCCTTTGTTTGTTTGTTTTTTTTTTTTTTTTTTTTTTTCTCCCTTGCATTTTTATCAGTACGATGCTTGTTGCGTTAAAAAAAGTAAAACAACCGTTTATTTTTTTTTTTTTTTTTTTTTTTTTTTTTAATATATTAAAACTGACACATTTACGCATTTTATCTGGTAACTATCATCTCACAGTAATGATGTAGATCACAACCAGTATATTAACTTATATCGAAGACGTCGAATATGTCATTATAATATTGATACTTTTTCATATTCCTTTTCGCACATCAAATTATTCTAAATTGATTAGAAGATGTTCAATTGTTTCGATTCTTATACTGTTAACAAGCTAATAATCTATATATTTGATAACTTTGGTTAAAATTAATTGGAAATAATTGAGGATATAATTCTTTCTTTTCTTGTAATTATAGATTATGTTACTTTAAGCACACGTTTATCAAATGTCTTTCCTAAATTATCAAGTTTTAAAATGATTTTATACTACATTACATTATCACACTAGACGCATCGTAGATTAATACAAATCAAATGATAATAAAAACAATGATTACATTTCACATATAACTTAAAATGAACCCTTCATTGAATTTCTTGTGATCTTGTGCAATAAATAAGATTTACATTTGATCTAAAACTTCGCACATGTAAACCTTTTAAAAATAATATACTATTGATCCTACACAAATACACAATAAAAGAGAAATTAATTTGCTTATTAATAAATTATGTATAAATAAAATTTAAATACCTTGGTAATATCTCAATATATGATTATTGTTTACAATATCTGGAATGTATTTACATTATTTTCTTATATATTTGGATTTTAATTTTTACAAAGTGGAAATTACTTGTTGTTTTTTT